AAGCAGAGTTTTGCTGCTATTATAAATAGAACTAATTCTAAAGCAAATTTTGTTCCTACTAGATTTTTTTGCAATCTTTGGGAAAAGTAGCAAAACAGAAAAAAGTGTCAGGTGAGAATGAAAATCCAAATACTTAATTTTTTTTTCATTATGTTTAAAACCTTTATTTTAAATACAACCCTTTATTAACATTAGAACATTCCACATTTTAGGGTTTTTTTTAAAGTAAATAGCCATTTTTTGAGCATAGCATGAAATTATTCATAATATGCATATTCTGAGAATGGCAAATTTTGTCCCTATGAGGTGAGAGTCAGCATAGAAAAAAAACGCAGGATGGACTTGTGAACAGTAGGAATTGTCAACGCACAGAAACATGGCCAAGTTACTAAGAAAAGTTGTTGTGACTCAACAGAACACCACAGTGTTCTTTTCAATGATAAAATATTAAAATTCTTCATTAAATGGTAGTAACTGTTCTCATTACCACAGAATTATTTTTGAAAGCCACGAAGACTGAAAATCATAAGTTACAGGGAACAAAATGCTTCTCTGATGTCCAAGCAAGTGAGAAAACAATGGAGTTGGAGAATAACTTTTAATATATTGTCTTTGGCAATGCATATACCTGCATTCATACAAAAACTTTCTGCAGTACTGTAACACGTCGATATGCTCAGCTCCTGTTAGGTAAAAGAACTGTGGGCTCAGTTGGCATGTCAACTGGAGTGACTGTCATCCAGGGCATAATTTACCATTTTGTGAAGGATTTGCTGTGTCACCGAGCAGAAGACAAATGCTGGTAGACTTCATCAGGAGACACATTGTTATTTTCAAATGCCATGACAAACCCTTCTGAGGAACACGTGCCTGATACTAGAAGCTTGACTCATTGTCTGTAAACTGTGTATCATTCTTTTGTTGTGAGTGAACTGTACTGTTGCACAGAGTACAGTAAGCTCGTATTACTCATTGCTGGAGGGGGAATTTAAGTATTAAAAAAATGGGAAGCATGTGGTGGAGGTGGCTGATGAGCATCCTGGCTAGCATAAAACATTCGTGCTATGACACTGGTGAAATCCAGAGTTTCTGAGCTGTGGTAGTTTTGATCATGGAAATAGCAGCATTGTAGTAACAATAAAGCTGAGGTTGGTCTGGCATGGAAGTTAATGTCTAAAATCGATACAGAGAGTGAAAGGAATATTTCCCTCAGTTAGGGAGAGGGATGCTTAAATGGCTTTAAAGCACTTTGTTACTGCTTTTCCTTATACCCTAATGATTGTGGGTATTGGGATTATAGTTAATATACAGATGTACTAAAAAGAGGCAAAATAATCTATTATTTTAGCTAGGTATAGAGATACTTTATTGTTCTCTTGGCTTATTCTTGAATTCATGTTAGTTCAGAACATGGCTCTGTGCCTTTGTTTCTCCTCCCCTTCATTTTCTGTCTAATCTCTATTTAGTCTGAACTTTTTAAGCAGGAACTGCATCTTGCTGTGGTTTTTTGTAACAGTGGCTTGCACAGTCAATCAGCTAGGTCCTTGGGCTGCTTAGGCATTCCAGAAGTGATGCTGCCAATAGTGAAAACTTTAAATATGATGAATGACTGAACTGACATTCTCCTAATGCTGGAAAAGCATTTTCCCATAATTCATAATAAAGCACAGATTTCACTATATCTGATGGGTTTACTGAGACGTACTGAAAACTTTTGAGATACTGGAAACCAATTCATGCAATATATTATATTCAGCTCTTGCTGTGGTGATTTGGTCTGTTCTTTTATGTAATTTGCACACTAAAAAACCTAATACAGCTTGGCCCGGCATACTCAATTCTCTAAAATCCCTTGACTGGAAAATTACATGTCCATTGGTTCTACAGCTCTTCTTTGAAAACAATTTTTACGACCAGGTTAATGAATTCATCTGTTGTCCACACTTCTTTCTGCAGAAGTAGAGACAGAATTTGCAGGCAAGCATGACTTTGTTCGTTCTTGACTGAAAGTGGTGTTTATGAACCACTCAACAAATGCTATGCAGTTACGTAGAAATTCGCCCTATTTCCTACCAAGGCATGCAACACCAGCAGACTCTGTGAACTTAATCTGTAGGAAAGCTTGAGGAAAACATGGCAATCATTTTGTAAAAGTCTAAGTTTATTTGGAGAATGGGAGATGGTATGTTAATCCCAGCACTTGGAGGTGTTAATTCATGATCACTGTTCTGCTAAATTGAGAAATTAGCATTCTTTGTTGGGTTACAGTATGTGTTCTGCAAAGCTTGTGCCTTTATTGTGTTTGAAACTTCTTCTGTGATTAATGGTGAGCTTTGTGGCAAGAGTTAAAAGTTACGGATCTGTCTCTGTACTTGATCTAGGGTTGTCTGAAAATGAGATTTCCTAGAGTCCACTCAGATATACTGTTATTGCTGGTTATTACTACTGTTGGTGATTGCCTGTGCCAACAGGTCTCTGGTATGTTCTGTCTTTTTGTGATATATCTTCTTTTGTCCTTAAACCTTACCACTCTGACCTGTCAGTGCATACAAAATCCCATACATCAGTCAGCAAAATGTATGGAAATAATTCCCTTCCTCCGTTAGATTTTAGCAGCTTAAGTTGGTTTCACTAGAAGGGGTCACAGAAGAATTCAGTGACTTGTACTTAGCTTTTCATGGAGAATGTAACTTCATAAATGCATTTGTTACTGTCGTAAGAATCATGTTTTCAAAAGCAGTGATGTTACATCCTTAGAGTGACATGTAAAAAGGATAACACTAGATAGCAACATACACGCTCTTTTGTCTGACTTTGATTTATACCTTTGATTTAAGAGAATTATTTGTATTAAAAAAGAAGACATTAATGGTTAATAATGTCAGAGAGGTAATTACCTGTAAGTGCAGATGTCCCTGAATTGCAGGAAGAACAATTTCTTAGGATCTTCGCAGAAAAATTGAATGTCTTCAAGAAGATGTAAAAGAGCTACTCTCTTTGTATCTCAGTCAAGCGAAGATCAGCAAAACTTAAAAGAAAAAGACTTCAAAAGACCAAAAATGGAAACTTTTTCTAAGTAATAAGCATTTTCTTTCTGGTCATTAATGTAAACATTCTTTAAGAGCAGCTACTCTTTGTAGGCTCTGAACAACATAGCTCTAAGATCAGGTTTACCAATCCAGAGGGGACCCATATGTCATGATGGTGGTCTTCTGTAGGCATAAATATAAAGGAAGTGTCACTGTCCTGCCCTGCCTGCTACAGGAAGGAGCTGGGGTGGGTTGTCATAGTTCAGGTGCTGAAATCCAGATACAATCCGTAAGTCATGCAGGCATTGCTAGAGCCCCTGGGCTAATCTAGCATTGTGTGGGAAACCGTTCTGCATGCAGGTGGGGCAGGGTTGTAGTGAAAAAGAAAGCATAATACTGCATTTGAACATGCAAGTGCATGTTGCCCACACAATGATTGCCACAATTTTTTTCTTTCAGAGTTTATACTCAGTGTATTTCTTCTTTACATTAATTTTTTAAAATTCCTGCATAATTTAATAAGCACTGGAAGAATAGCTGATCCTTATTTCTGTTTATTCTCACTTTGAAGTCTAACTCTTCCTCTATCGGAATTTTTACTTTGGGTTTCAATTATGTGAATTTGAAGTCTTTCAATAAACACTGTGTAGATACCCTAAAGGCAGTTTGGGTTTGGGGGTTTTTTTGGTTGTTGTTTTTTTTTTAATTTACCATAGTGTTTCATTATTGGTACTATTTTGTCTGGTGAAGTATATGTTTTGAGTTAAATTTTGCAAGACTACGTCTCATCTCATCTGAGTTGCTTTCTTCGTTGTAGGAGAAGTTAGAATTTCAGATTCAAAATGTTTTGAGGTTTGAATTAATTTATCTTGGAGTGGCTATCTTATACTGCTTTTGAGAAGATCAACTGTTAAGATATATTGCTTTAAGGACACTAAATTGGCACAATTTCTGATTACTTTATTTGGAGTGGTGTTTGTTTTGGCTTTTAATATACAATTGTATCATACAAGTTATGTACACCTTTGTGCTATATCAGCAAATTTTACACATAAAGTAAACAAGTGTTATGATACTTCATGTTATAAAAAGTACCAGTGTATCCAATTGGTGCTTTTTATTTTAGTAGCAATAATTGTACTGAATCAACATAATCTTAATTTTGCATTTTGTTTGAATAACCAAGCATGTAGTTTCATTGTTGATATAGTTTTTAAAACTTAAAAACAACAGCTCTAACTTGCCTGGCTTTATTTTCAAGTGATTGTAATATTTAGTAAATGTGGCTAATTCAATGTCATATTTTATACTACAAAGAGTAAAACAGGCTGCAGAGCCAGCGCTCTTTAATATACTCTGCACAAACGTAAACTGTTTTTCTGTGTTTTAAAGACCTTAGCAGTTCAAAAAATAATTACCAATTTTATTTGTAGAGAATACAGGTAGAAACAGTAGGAGATTTAGAGCTGCAGTGAACTTAAAGCATGCCTCTTAGTGATATGTATCTGTGTGTGTTTCTAGAAATATATAAGAATAACAGATCTTCGTTGTTTTTCAGATGTCAAATTTAAATTTCTGTCCCGTTCTGCATGTGAATGGCATTATGATGCCTGTACAAGCCCTTGTTTCAAGACGTGCAGGGACCCTTTGGGAAAAAACTGTCAAGCAGTACCAAAGTAAGGATCTGTATTTTTATGGAGAATTATGTAATTTGGGTTTTATACTTATGCAGAATAATAAGAATATGAGGGACCAGATGTAGGCTCAGTATAGCAGGACTGTGTTCTTGTATAAGGAAGTAAGTGAAGGAGAAAAGAAATTGAATAAAACCTGCTGTGACAGCTACATGAAATTGACATTTCAGTTGTTAGGTAAGTATTGTCAGATTCTGGAATGACTAGTATATTTGTAACTTTCAAGGTGGGGGGTATTATAAAGTATTAACAGAGAAGTGATTACAAGTTTGTTTCAAATAGTTGTTCCCCTACTTTTTCATTATGGCATTGCAACAGCCATATCTGTCCTTGCCTTTTCCTCCCAGCTGGAATTTGTGCTAAATCTGGTAAAAGTGGCATTTGGATTTTGGTGTGTAAAGATGTTTGGTGTTTCTTAAGCAATAGCATTCAGTATTGAACCTGCGACCGTTCATTTCAAAGGCTGAGTATTGCGAAGTTCATGCCTTTGCTTAGATCTGAGTGAAAATGGAAGCCATGGCAATGACATTTTGAAGGAGTATACTGAGGTGATGAGATTTAAGTAGACAGTCTTATTCTATCTAAAAATACTTTATAAATAAATTCTGTTTTCCTAAAATTAAATGCTTGATCCAGAAGATACTGTTCAACTAGTTAATACTAATTGTTTTTCTTTTAGGGTGGAAGGATGCATCCCTGCCTGTCCTCTCAATATGTTGCTGGATGAAATTACTCAAAGATGCGTGTATTTTGAAGACTGTATGTTTGAAAATTTATATATATATTATGTATGATACTTAGCTTATTAATTTATTGGGTCTTTTAGGCAAATTTTCAAATATTGGTGCTTAAATTTGT